TGCTGGAGTCTAAAACAGAGCATAAAGGAGAGTAAATATTGGACTTTTGTCAGGTGGCCAGAACACGACTCCAGGTGAATGCTAATGTCGCTCTGTTTAAAGTGTAAATAGGCAGTTGTTTGCTAACATGTTCACTATAACAACTTGATACAGCTCGTTCTGCTGCCCCCAAGTGGCCAAAATAACCCCAAATAATGCAATTTAGCAAAATGTATTCAAGGAAAGGGACAGATATAAAAGAAGAGATCAAAATAGCTTCAGGAAACTAGCAGCTGTTCATCCTTACTGTAGATATTGTAATTCAACATTTCAGAAAGGTGTGAAAATGGCAGTTAAATGTTCTTAAGTGTACATTTAGAGGTACATTTACGCACATCCAAGTCAACCATAATGCTCTTATCTTACATTTTCTATGTTCAGAGGAGCAAAGGAAAATGCACAGCCAGTTTGAAGGACATTTGAAAATCTGCCTCTGATTGCGGATGGGAACCTTTTTTTTAAAGAAAGGGAGCCTGCTGAGAAAATCCTCTGCTACCTGCAGCTTTGTGATACCTGTCATCTCCATCCTCACTGCCACCCGCAGCTGAAGACTAGTCACCATTTTTAAAATTGTTGGTCACATGGCAGTAAGCATGGTGCACCAAGGTCTGCTACATAACAGGGGCGTTTCCAGAAGGGGGGCCTGGGGTGAAATCTCAAAGACAGAGTGAAGATACTTATATCATATAAACCTTAATGACCTTACGCATCCACTGGAACCAACCATGGCATGTTAGCATGTCGGCAAGAGGGGCGCAAAGTTAGGCTAAATCTTAGCAATGGAAAAACTGGCATTGCCATTTTCAATGAGATCAATCTGACCCCTGTTTTGGTACAAAGGTACTTTCTTTCTGGAACAGATAATGATATGATCTCAATGCGATTATTAGATATTTTAACACTAGACTCCACTTTGGAAACAAGCATTAGTTCGTGTGTCGTGCTTCTTATCTGCATTCCAGAGCGTGCTATCACATCCTGTGTGTTTACTGACGCACACACACACGACCAGTCTGTTTAAATACAGTCACCCATCATGTTGGATCAGTCTCACATTAAGCCAACACCAGATACTCACAAGAATGTGAATCACAGAATCTGAATTCACGGTGTAGTTTTACAGCTCAGTCTCAGGTATTGATTTTAGAACTGGTTGCTGATGGAGTTGCAAGGTTAATGAAACACTTACAGTATAGTAATTATTACTTTGGTTTTGTGTTGTGTGTAGAGTTTCTATCTATACATTTTCAGGGTTCAGTGGTGGGGGAATCAGTGGAATACAAAACATGAACTTTCTTATGCTGCCTTCAAACTCTTGAGTATAGATACATGTGAAACAAAAGACAATAACATCTGGAATATACACTAATTTTAAAGTGGAAACACTCTAAAGCCCAGTTAAATAGTGACAGGTGTTTTTTTATTTGACAAAGATAATAGAAAAAAATAAAAACAATTGTCAAACTTTTTCATTTTGGATCAATTGCAAACATTCCTCTGGGTTGATTAGAGGTTCATTCAGTTCACCTGTTGCATGGGGGTGAACTCAATGATGGAGAGCAGCTTGGTGGATCTCCTCTTGGCCAATCCGGGTGTGACGACGCCCATTCTTGAAGGCATAAGAGAGATGGGGAACCGCTCACCCAGGGGGCATTCTGATCCTTTCTCCATTCAGTGCAGAACTCACACTATGAGACATAGTCAGCCTCAAACTCTGGTCTCTAGGACCCCCTGAGGTTTCTTTGCTGTCTCTCTCTTGTTGCCATGAAGTGTCTGAGAATTATCACTAAACCCGGAGAGCATGTTGTGCTGTTAGTGAATGAATCAGCGCAGTCTGGTGTAACTTGGGCAAGAATTCCTTGCCACCCAATTACCTGCTGCCTGCAGGCTTACTTTGGGCTTTACTCTCACTATTTGTTTATGATTTTGTTTTTATTAAACCCCTTCTCTGTTTATTTACATTTTATTGAAGAGGCATTATTTTATTATTGAACAGTCATTGAAGAGTCCTTAGTTAGTTTTTATTGAAGAGGCATTTTGTCAATGGTTAAAATAAAGGCGGAGTGGGTTTTTTTTTTGTTATTATGCAGTTGGGAACTAGTTGGAGTTAAGACTTGGGGAATCAGTACCACCACATTGGTACACTGCAACCAGGAACTGCTAATAGCTAATTCAGCATACTTGTGTATGCTGAATTACAATGTGTGATACTAGAACACGCAACAGAACAATAATAAGACACTAACTTTGTATCCCTAAATGGCATCAATAAACTGATCTCAGATCTTTTAATATTGAAAGGTTTGACTCATGAAGATGTTTTTCACCATGATAAAATCTACAGTCTACATCCTTTACACTGTTGAGGGGTTCAAACTGTAACTGTATCTGAGTTTACGTCCTCAGGACAGCCATGTATCAGCCAGAGTCTCCGACATTTAATCAGCCTCCTGTAGAAGGAAAACGAATGATGGATACATGCTGCTATTTATCTTTTAATACAATATTGACACTAACTCATCAGACTCAACACAAAAGGTTTCTTCTTCCTATACAAAATGAATGAGTGATAATTATATTCCACCTACTTATACACACCTGTTTAATTTTTCACAGGACTGTGGCACTCCAGTTGTGCTCTGATTCAATTACCAGTCAGTCGTACAGCCTCATCAGTCCTATTATGTATTTAGTATTGGACAGTGTGTGAGTCAAATTGAGTTTCTGTGCTCTGATGACCTCAGATAGACGGGTGAGGACGGGTCAGCTGCATTACAACCAATGCATAAAAGGTGGTTTCATCCATTAGTCACAATCCCTGCACAGCTTAATTGCCTGACACAACATATTTGTTTCTGCCCTGCTGTATGGGTGT